AAATTTATGTACAATAAAAAAACACAAATCACAAATAAAATGAAAGGTGAAAGAAGAAAAAAATCTTATATCTGCGCCGTTTTTCTCAAAAAATACATTTAAACAATAATCATCTGCAAACAAAAACTAAACAAAAAAACAACCTCAAATCCTTATTATAATAAACATCTTCAGTTTGTGACACCAAACCTCATGTTAAACTGTTAGTCAGATGTTCTTGAACACAAATTAAATCCATAAAAAGCAGAAAATAAGAACATTTTCCCTCGTTCTGTTTGTCGCTGCATCTTCTGCTTCAATTCATGCATGAGAAGAAAGCTGCTCTTCTAAAGTAAACACATCACATGCAGAAAYGTTATTTTCTGTCAGCCAGCCGTGGTTTTCAGAACCAACAAAAGCTCAGGTCGTGTCCAACATCTCCACCACCAGTCATTTTAYTGTCACCTGCTCTGTTATTTTCAAACTTCTTTTCCACCTGCTGCACACAGAGGACCCAGGCTGGGTGAACCTGCAGGCTCAGGTCCAATCAAAGCTGTTCTTTTTCACTCGCACCAGGCAGTTATCTGCTGGAGGAGCTGTCAGAGGCCGATCAATCCGACTCAGTTACAAATCAATTTCTGCTGAAAGTCTGACCTCAGAGGGGTTTATATCTGCATACGGGAGGGAAAATGGAAAAAACAGCTYAACTGTAACCTTGAACAAGCTGCAGACACAGTTCTTCTTCACCCAACACGACCCTGATCACTGAGTGATAAAAAATTAAAACACTAAATCCAGCCATCATTATTGCTGTTTATGTACTTATATGAGCTGTGGGAGGATCTGATAATTTATAGTCCGTTGTGTCTTCAGCTCAGTTAAACTCACTCAGGGAAAAAACTTCACAATTTACACAATCTCCATCCTGCTGTGTCACAGCTTAGTGAAGTTTAATCCAAGCTTTAGTCTGTTGGTTTTCACTCTGGTTTCAGTTGAGTTTTATATCTTTCACCTGGTCCTCCTTCAGTTGGTTTAAGTCTTTCCTCCACCTTCATCTCCATCACTTTGTGTTTTTGGTTTAAAATGAAAAAAAGTTTTATTTTGAGCTCATCTTTGGTTCACAGTCTTGTTCCTTCCTCCTGCCAACGTGACAGAAACATGTTTGTGTGTCTGTTACCTGAATGACATGATGACATTTAATGAAACTCTTCATCTGATTCACGTCTGGAGTCAGCCTGATTCAAAATGACTTTCAGATCCAATTAAAGAAAAAAAAACACTTTAATGGCAACTTTTTGGGGGCAACACGGTGCATTAGTGGTTGGTACTGTTGTCTCACAGCTCGATCTCTGGTTTGGGTCTTTTTCTGGAGTCAGCTCAGGTTTAGCTGTTATTTTCTGTCTGCACCACTTTTCTTCAGGTCAGWTGATGAAACAATCAGGTGTTTATAAGCATCAGATTCAGACAAATCTGTCTGAACTTCCTGTATCTGACCTGTGTGCTGCTTGTTGTAGGCCCACCAGGACAGGAGAAAACCCACCCTTCATACAGTAAATAAACATGTTTAGGGTCAGATTATCTGAAGTTGTTTTTCACCGACGTGTTCAGTCCATCATTTCAAACCCAGATCATCTGCTGGTTTATCTGCTGAAGGTCNCTGTGTGTAGCTGTGTGTAGCTGTGTGTGTCGCTGTGTGTGTCACTGTGTGTGTCACTGTCTGAGTGTTTCTGTTGTTGTCAGCAGAAATGTTGTGTGTCTCGCCTCCATCAACAGTGAGAAAGGAAGCTGCAGGTTTCTGAAGAAGCTGATGATCATCAGAGCAGCTTCTATCCACAGTTTATCACTTCATTAGTTTTTAACTCACTTTAATCCTATGACAGTCAGACTCTTATTTTGAAGAGGTGTCTATAACATTTATCTCTTCCTGTTTGCTCTTTTTGTTTTATATTGTCAATCTGAACCATGTTTTGTCAAATACATTTTATTAGAAATATAAATAATGTTTGAATAAAGTGTTTGTAAGAATGTTGCAAAGTTTAGAAAGCTGAAAAATCTGTAGTAAAATCTCTAAAAATCATCWTACTTCATCTATAATTGTGTAAAAACTGCTAAACATCAAAATGTCAGTTGAGTTGTGTAAAGTTYAACTTCATGTGAGATGTTTAAACTAATAATTTAAAAATAAAATTCAGCTTTGACTCATTTCTATTTAAAGTACATCTGAGTTAAAATAAAAACAGCAGAGAAATGTCTGTGGAGACTTTTATTATTTTATTTTTGAAAACATTTGTATCATTTGATTATTCCTGGTCGATCTGTGTGTTGTGATGGTTTTTTGTTTTGGTTCTTTTAAAGCTGCAGGGAAAGAAAATTTATTTTTATGATAAAAAAGGAAGTGGGGGTGAACATTAAAGACTTTTAGTTTGTCCTGTTTATTATTTAATAAAGCTCGCTGGGCTCTGTGACATCCTGACAGAATCTACACAAAAAGGAACAACACTTCAACACCGTTTAATTAAATTTAAAGTCAAAACTTTTACAAATAAACCCCAGACTTTAACAGTACAGCTGGAGATTAAATAAACATATTTTAAAGAAAACCTGCTCTCATCTCTGCTGCAGGATGAAACAAACCAGAACTGAGCTTCTTTTCCACAGAAACTGTTTAATTTTCATAAAGTGCAGTGATAAAAAATGGCCGAGCTCAGGTAAAATCCCTGCTGACTGAATGTTTGATGCTCCTAAATAATCTGCTCTTTTAATCTGAAAGGATCTCAGAGTGAAGCTTGTGTTTGTGCTGACACACACAGGAAGTTAGTTGTGTGCAGTTCTGCTGTCCTGAGGTGTGTTTCAGTGCAGACCGTTAATAAAACTTACTGTGTGCATTTCTGCAGGAACGTCTGTGGACTCACTGGTTCTGAGGGAAACCAGTCTGTGTGTCCTTCTCAAGATCCTCTTTATGTTCTCTTTAGTCCAGATCCTCTGAAGTCCAGGATCTCATCAGACCTGAGCCGGACTCTTGTGATCCAGATCCTTTCAGGCTGAGCTGCAGTTTGTCTCCAGGTAAAACTGGATTCTTCAATTAAATCAAACTGAGATTTAGATTTATACTGCTTAGATTTAGATTTATACTGCTTAGATTTAGATTTATACTGCTTGGATTTACATTTATACTGCTTAGATTTACATTTATACTGCTTAGATTTACATTTATACTGCTTAGATTTAGATTTATACTGCTTAGATTTAGATTTATACTGCTTAGATTTATATTTATACTGCTTAGATTTAGATTTATACTGCTTAGATTTATATTTATACTGCTTAGATTTATATTTATACTGCTTAGATTTATATTTATACTGCTTAGATTTATATTTATACTGCTTAGATTTATATTTATACT